CGAAGGTGCGTTGTGACACTAAATATTTGTGACAATAAGTAATATAGTAAAAATTGTGACTGTTGATGTCATCACTTCATTCTTAATTATAATATAGTATTCTTATTTATGTAATTAATCATAATTGTTTATTATTATTATCAATTTTATTTTTTGTTATTCATCTTTTGTTATTATTCTTATCTTTTTATCATAATGAATAAATTGTGTTGATTAATCATATTTCGTTATTGTGACCCTTATCAATACTACTTAATTCTTTATGACATTAAAATATTAATCATTCTTTACGATGATTGGTGTTATATAATGTATCTTCGTTATTATTATTTATATTATTTATATTTAATATATTATTTATATTAATATTTATATACATGTTTAATTTGTATTGAATATTTTTATGAATATTCTTTTAATTTTTTGAAATTTAATTTGAAATTTCTTAATGATGAATAAAATTTAATGAAGATGAAATAATTTCTAGATTTTCATTATATATATAATATTTATAATTATGAATAAATAATTAATTATATAAATACAATTATGATATATGTATTATCATATTAATTATATATATAATAATAGTACTATTTATATCACTTCATTCATTTTTATTCTTTCATTTTACATTTTATTCTTATTTTCTTTCATCTGATTATTGTTTTATTCATCATATTCTCTTATTTATTCTTATTTCTTTTTTATTTATTTCTTTTTTTTATTCATTTTTATTCATTATCTATTTCTTATTGTTATTCATTTTTCTCATTTCTTCATTATAAAGATACTGTCATTTCTTTATTTTATTTCTTTCATCATCTTATCATTTAACTTATTCATATTCTTATTAATCATAATCTCTTTAGTAGTTAATTCAATTAATGTTTTGATAATAAGAAATAAAATGGTAAAGAATAAATAGAATTATTATATTAATGATAAAAAATGAATATGATAAAATCCATGATATATGTTGAGTATTTATAATGATTTATTAATTTTTAACTATTTATAAAATTGAACAATCAAAATTTATGAATTAATAAATGAAATGTTCATATTTATGTTATAATTTATGTTTTCATAAGTATAAAATATTAATTTTGTATGATTTTTCAATAATTCATAAAATGAAATAATTTTATTCTTATATAAAAAGATAACTATTATTTATTTCATATTATTATTAAATAATAACTCTATCATCATTTATATTCTCTCTTATTTCTTTATTATTTATATTCTTTTTAT